ATTGCTATCTATTTTTTAAATATAAATTTCAGGTGTACAGCATTACAGTTTGACATCTGTATACAATACAAAGTGACCACCTCAAGTCTGGTTACCATCCATCATCATTCAGTTGACCCCCTTCACCCATTTTGCCCACTCCTCAACCCCCTTCTCTTCTCCTCTGGTAACCACTCATCTGATATCTGTATCTGTGAGTTTTGTTTTGTTTTGTTTTGTTTTGTTTGTTCCTTTGTTTTCTTAGATTCCAGATGTAAGTGAAATCATACGATATTTATCCTTTTCCTTCTGGCTTATTTCACTTAGCATAATATCTTCAAGGCCCATTTATGTTGTCACAAATGGCAGGATTTTATTCTTCTTTATGACTAAGAAGTATTCTGTTGTGTACATACACACACATGCACACGTGCATGCACAGCCCACATCTTCTTTATCCATCCGTTGATGAACACTTAGGTTGTTTCCATATCTTGGCTGTCTTCATAATGCTGCAACAAATGTAAGGTGCATATGTCTTCAAATTAGTTTCCATGTGCTTTGGATGAATAATCGGAAGTGGAATAGCTGGGTCATGTGGTAGTTCTATGCCTACATATTTTTGCTGTTTTCCAGGGTGGTAAAATCCCCACCACAAGTGCCCAAGGGTTCCCTTTTCCCCACACCCTGACCAATACTTATTTCCTGTCTTTTTGATGGTAGCCATTCTAACAGGTATGAGGTGATACCTCACTGTGGTTTTAATTTGCATTTTCCTGTTAATTAGTGATGTTGAACATCTTTTCATGTGCCTGTTGGCCATCTGTATGTTTTCTTTGGAAAAATGTCTGTTTAGATCCTCTGTTCAATTTTCAGTCAGGTTGTTTATTTTTTTGTTGCTGTGGAGTTGTATGAATTCTTTGCATTTTGGATATCAACCCTCTGTCTTATCGGATATATGAATTGCAAATATTTTCTTGCATTCAGCAGGTTGCCTTTTGGTTTTGAGGATGGTTTCCTTCTCTGTGCTGAAGCTTTTCAGTTTGATGTAGCCCTGTTTGTTTGTTTTTGCTTTTGTTTTCCCTTGCCTTTGGAGTCAGATCGACAAAAGCATCAATAAAACTCATGTCAAAGAGCTTACCACCTATGTTTTCTTCGAGGAATTTTATGGTTTTAGGTCTTACATTCAAGCTTCTAATTCATTTGGAGTTAATTTTTATGTATGAATGTAAGAGAGCAGCCTAGTTTCATTCTTTTGCATGTGATTGTCTAGTTTTCCCAACACCATGTATTGAACAGACCATCCCTTCTCTAGTGTGTGTTCTTTGCTCCTTTGTTGTAAATTAATTGTCCGTACACGTGTGGGTTTATTTCTGGGCTTTTACAATGCCGTCTCCATGCTGTTATGTCGTGAATGAATCTCTGTTCTGGGCGTTCTTCATATGTCAGCTCTTGTGGTCTCATAATAGACTTTGAAGTCGCTGTTGTATTATTCCAGTTTTACAAACTGGGAACTGAAGCAGGAAGGAGTGCAGTAACTTTCCCACAACTGGGTGGTGGCAGGTCTAGGACTCAGGGTCAGACTCAGCTGGCTCCAGCGTCCGGCTCGGTTTCCACACCGGTGCTCAGAGTTTTACTTGCCATATCAGGAGGGTGTGGACCCCCAGGTCCATGGGTGGCTGCTGCTCTGGACTTTGGACTCTAGGTTGAAGCCCCTGGCTTCTTCCACTTCCTCTGTCATTCTCGTTCTAGAAAAGTCTGCTCCCAGGTGCCTTTCCCGCCTTCTCCTCCTAGCCCATCTTTCTCCAGTCTTTAGCTGTTGCTTGCTGCCTTAGTAAGTGTCACTATATCCAGATTCAACTCTTGGTGCTATTGTTTTAAAATTTAAATTGTATTTATTTATTACTATTGCTGTATCATTTAGTTACCAGTTTTCTCTCAGTTCACTCACTTTATTTTAATAAAATGAATTGATTTTAAAACAAAGAATTTTAACAAAGAATTTAATGCAAAAACCAGTGCTATTTAACATGGATAGACTTCTGTAAAACATTATGTCTGTAGTCCGTCAATCAAAGAAAGAAATCATAAGTACTTAAGTTATTCAGTTCTAGCGTAAATATTTACTTTTGGGTAAAAGGGGGAAATGAATGAGTGTCGTTGATGGGTGGACGGCATACTAGCATCTAATTGAGATTTTTTTCCTCATTGATAGGACCTAAAGAATAGAAATAGTCAAGAGGAAGTATCTTTTTTTAACTCAGTGTTTTAATGAATTCAGAGCAGCTGCTCTTAACATGTAAAGTCTCAAGTATCTGGGCCACACCTACCTTTGCTGGTTATTGTCCTTGCTCAAGGACATGTTTTATTTTGTGGGAACGACAGTATTGCTTTAAAATGGAACTCTGTCTTGAAACAGAGAGTCACATCTGCATGGTCACCCTCCTGTGGTGCACATGAGATAAGACCATGACTCTCGAAATTAGTTTGACAATAACCCGCATTGAATGTGTGCTGGCTGGATTTCTGGCCCCGTGTTAAGTGCTTTCATTGTGTGATTTCCGTCAGGCATCCAAACAGCCTCACCAGGTAGGCATGGTTATTGCCATTTGAATAATGGTGGAAACCAAACCAAGACACCTAGCAGTCAGGTAACTTGCCCAAGGTCACACCACTGTCAAGTGGCAGAAAAGATTCTAACCCAGGTCTGTCCATCCTGTGAGCTCATGGCTCTTAACACATTCCCTGCTCTGCAGCAACTTACGTTTGGTACGTTTTGTTCTGCAACAGAGCCCTGTCATCAGTGGTCATCAGAAGATTGCCGTGTGATGGCCAGGCAGGTTCTCTCTTCACAGGGATACATGTAAACAAAAATACTAGCCACCTCCGGAAGGCGGGGGCTGTACGTGCATGTAGCATGCTTTGTGCTCTCGTGAGAAAGACTGCAAAATGAAAAATGAGATTAGTGTTTCAGGTTGTACAGTTCCCTAATTATGCCTTAAATTATTCATATAAAACAAGTAAAATGACCCCTGGCAGAGAAATAAATGATTTAGGTAAAATCAAATATTTATAAGATGCTACTGAGTCCCTAGATGTATTGTAACAGATGCACTCAAAATGCTTTACCTTCCTCCTTTGGATGCAAAATGGTATGTGTAGACTTTGTAACAAGCTGAGAGTAATCAACAGTGTTTAAGACACTACTGAGCTGATTCATTGGTATTTTGGCTTTGAAACTAAAGGGGTATGATTGGTTTCATATAATAGTTTATCTTCTAAAATATACTGTATTCTAGGGAGCACAAAATGACAACCCCTTCTGCTTGTTCCTACATTTTTATAATGGTTGGAAAAAAAATCAAAAGGAGAAGAATATTCCACAACCTGTGAAAATTCTATCCAAATTTTAATGTTGATAAATAAAGTTTTATTGGAACGTAGCCTCACCTGCTCATTTACATATTGCGTTTGGCTGCTTCGGTGCTACAAAGACTAGCTTGTGTGGTTGCAACAGAAACCACAGGGCCACAAAGCCCTAAATATTTACTGTCTCACTTTTTACAGAAAAAGTTTGGCAACCCTTGTTCTAAGCCATGCCTAGCACCCAGTAAAGGTGGAACAATGCTGTAGCGTGTTAAATCAGCATGAGAAACACTTGCTTTGACTTCATTCCGTCCTTAAATTCTCTCTCCCACTAATTGAACGTTCACTGGGTATTTTTCTGAAGTTGGAGAAACGCTGCCTTTGAATGCAATAAAAAAGGGATTTATACAAGCAGGGTTCCTCCACTCGCTAATTTAGTGCTTCCTTTGTATAGAGAAGTGCTGAAACTAATTGCACGGTTTGCAAAATGCACCATTAGTCTAGTCCCTGTCTTTTATGGAGACCTAATTTTCATGCAGGCTTTCTCTGCAAGGCTTGAACTGGGATCTCTTTAGGAACAGAAGACAGTGAGGATGCAGAAGCTTTTCTCTGCCTTAAACAGACTTGGCTTTTGATCACAAACCCTTCAGGGTATTGGTTGGCACCTTGTGCTTGTTTAGCAGCCAATAGGTGTTTGTCGAATGGACGAATGATTCCACTCTAGACAACAACAAAAAGGAGGGGTGGAGGAAATGTATCACTTATAAAATAAAATCTCTGTTTTGTCCACTTGGCTATTTCATTCCTTTTGGAAAAAATAATTTTTTTGTCCAAGTTACTTGTCCTTGATTTCTCTTTTCCAGGTTTCAAGGAAGAGAAATACGATTTTGAAATTTAGGGTTTGAATTGATTGAATTGAACTGAATTGATTGAGAAGTCTGTATGTTAAGGACTTCTTATGTGTTCTTTCGGATGGGCGAAGCAAAGTTTTCTTTTACTTGGAATTAGAAGAAATAGGAAAGTCAATCTACTTACCTGCTTATTTGGGTGACTTAATGAGTAGAATTTTCACTACACTTCCCTGGGAACACCATTATCAAGTATGAATACAATGCTTAATCCTACTTACCTTCCCACTGTTACTGCCTGAATTCTGGTAGTACCTGCGCAGTTTATTTTCTGATACCTTGTGTAAGTTTTCTGATCAATGAAACATGTCTTTCGCATCCAGCTTATGTCTATTTCCTGTCTAGTTCCAGACCTTGAGTCTTGGGGTAGCCCCAGGAATCAGTTTTTAAAAAAGACAAAAATCCCACTCTCCAGATAACTTCGGTCGTCAGGCAGATATAGGAGACCCTGATTCAGAGCAACTTACTCTGTCCTTGTCTCCCATTTTTTTTTCAATCTGTGAAATGGATAAGAAATTCTGAGACTGTTCCCTAGGAATTTTCATGATTTAGACTCAGCCAGGGATTGAGAGCATTCTACGGCTAGAATGTGCTCATTTATTCTGACTAGTGTTTTTGACTTGCTTTTTAACAGGTACATGAGGACGTAATTCGCATCATGTAATCATGAACTATATTTGAAGCAGCAGCCGAAATATGTCAAGTTTGGTTTTGAAACTCATTTTGTTTCCCTTCTGCTTTACACAGTTGCCATCCTTCTGAAAGACGACTATTTTGTCAGCGGTGCTGGCCTGCCTGGCAGATTCAAAGCCGAGAAGGTGGAATTTCACTGGGGCCACAGCAATGGCTCTGCCGGCTCTGAACACAGCATCAACGGCAGACGGTTTCCCGTGGAGGTGAGAGAAACGTGAGATGTCGGCGTGGAGCTGTGCTTTGGGTGTTGGCGTTAATGAGATGCTCTGTCTTTACCGAAACCCAGTCAGTTTGCAAGTCAAACTGGTACCATCCCTGCCTTTGTCTGGAAATCTTTTATATACAGCAGGACAGGTGGATATCCAGTCCTCCAGTGTCCCATCTTTGTTTACCTGGTGAAGCATATAGAAGCCACGGACGCCGTGGTTTGAGTAGACTCAACTCCGGTCGATGATTTTTGAATCATTTATGTCATTTGACACAGTTTCTTTTCCTTGTCCATTCCTGAAACCCTGCTTTCTAAAAGTGAATTGGTGTATGGAAGTCTGGTGACTTGGTTTTCACCCTTTAGAAAAGAGAAAAAGGGTAGTTGGTATAAGAAGAGGAGTCTCAGAACCGTCTCTCTGTAGGGAAGCTGTTTTAAGGTTTGTGTGCTCCTAGCTGCAGTTGGGAGAGACGCTGTGGCCACCGGTCGTATGACTCACTGTTAACTTTGCTGGGGTCGATGGTGACATTTTGCCGCCTCTGTGTTAGTTTTCTCAAAGATCCATGCTGCTCAATAGAAGAAAGGGGTGGGTGCAAAAGATCGTGTGTGTCTTTTGGGGGAGGGAGGGAGGGAGGGAGCAAGTTTCCAAAGTCCTTTTTTAATGTCTGGTGGGGCCAGCACATCCCTTCCACTGTTAACCTTGCGTTTAACCTT